AAAGAAGCTCAACTAATTGAAAATAGATTGATCTGGTCTAGATGCATGCTCCACCTAGGAATACTAAGCTACTTATGTAGATAAAATTAGCATTAAGTGTAGTTCACTCCTAAATTTCATAGAAGATTAAATTATGTGCATCTTTAAAAGTGGAAACTACTTCGACTCTAATAACTCTATAGGAGAGTGAGCTATATCTGTAATCAATACTTAATCAATGAGCCGTCGTAGTAAAAATTGATATTACGATAAATGTAGGGGTAAGCCTTAACTTTGCAAGAGCTGTTTGCTCAAATTTAAGGAGTCAGTTCATACTGTCTCCTTTATCCCCAATGTTAGTCTTAACCTTTATAGTGACTTTATAGTTAAAAAACCAAAAGAAAAGGGGCCTTATCCTAGCAAGGGGTATATCTTTCAAAGGGTAAGTTAAATTGACTTTAAAATTCTTTATGTAATAGATTATCTGAATGCCATGCATTTAAATAGAATTAAAGCTGAGTGAAAAAAGAAACTCCAACGTGAAACTGAGTTCTATTAGAGTGAATTACCTGATCAAAACCAACATCTATATCAAAGATTAATAAACATCACCACCACCATTAAAGGGAGGGGTTATTGACCATTAACATCAGCAGCAAATATCCAAGGTACTCATCTAGGAATACTCAGCGATTTATAGAAATAAATATTAGTAAGAGCTCATATAAAATTATCCTGAAATGAGAAGTAATGCTTGCGATTCTATTTCTAAGTTGCTTATTCTTTTTTTGACACTATTGCTATTACAATTAAAACTCAAATATATGTGAAATTACAGCCCATTATGATCAAAGTTCTGTTCTTAAAAGTAGTCCAACGAAGTTCTTCTATAATCTTCTTTCTTCTTATATTATCTAATAAATCAAATGGGAGATCAGATTTCAATATACATAATTCATATAATGGAACGTACTCTTAGTGTCAATTTTCCCCCCTATGCTTCTATGTAAAGTTGTAAAATAATTCATTTTAAATAAAAGTTGGAAATAACTCATTGGATGAATAAATATACTCCTCAAATTTATAATTAGATTTACACTGTATATAATTGAAGTGCTCCTCGGTGGTTGATTTGAACTCGGTAAAACTTACTGGCCAAAAGTATAATCAACCTTCATAGTTTACCAATGTGCATGCCTTGAATAAACGACAAAAAAAGAGAATAGAGATTCACTTATTTAAAAATTCTACATTCTTTTTAGTAATTCACTTGTGCTCAACTTTTACATTCTTTGATTAGCATTCGAAGTATAGTGCGGAACTATATCTAGACTTTGCACATATTTCAAATCAATCGGATGCGACATATTACTTCATTTAAAACACACTCTCACGAGAGAGTCTTCTCTTCATGAGTTTATTTAAGACTTTAACTATATTCTGTGAAATGAAGTAGTCATAATTAACATCTCATGATTGATGAGCACTACGAAGTAACCACAATTTGAGGGGTCAGCTACCTACATCAACAACTAGCTTCTTAATCACCGGATACTATTATACTGTACAAGCCCTCACTCAAGCAAGAATAGCTACTAGAATATCACTCTCCTCTGCTAATGGGTGCTTATGGGCTATTGATCGTACTAATTAGATTACTTGACTGGTGAGACGGGACGCTACATTGCGATTGTATCTCAGGACTATCGACATGCATGGCTAAGACCTCCTATCTCAAATACCACTTATGACTCTCCCTATTGCTCATAGCTTCGACAAAAAGAGAGATGCAATTACAAGGCTTCAACAGAGTAGGAAGATTAGGTCACAGATGCAGCAGAATGAAGTTAATAGATTTTGTGATTATCGACAAGAAGAAGGAACAAGCCTCGTCCAGGGAGCGATTCAGATTCATTAGTGAGGAGAAGAAGCACTAGATTCACTTGCCAAAGTTGTAGTGAAGAAGGCTACTGCCAAGCACAAGAGCAGACTAGGTGCTAAAGCATATGCTCAGCGTCTAATTTGTAAGGAGCCAGAGATTCCTGATTGAATGATAATATTCTAACTTAGGGAAATATCAGGAGCTCAGTCTAGTGCTATCAATCGCAGACAACTCACTAGAGAGAAGGAAAGTTGAAGTGTCGGGGATTCATCTTAGACGTTTACAATAAGGGGGGATTAGAATTAAGTAAGAGATTTAATGTTTAAGAATTAAAGCCTTTGTCAGAACTTGACAGTAACAATCAGTTCTGAAGCTGCAGCCCATCGATGAGTTTCTGTTAATTCGAGATCATTTTGTGTCCATTCCACTTTTCCCTTGTTTTTCCCATTGTAATCGACATAGCAATAAAACTCAGAATACCTGCCGTCGTCGTTAACTTCGCTCTTTATGAAGGTTAAACACTCGGACGTCTCTGTGACTGACATACCAAATTTCGCTCCAACTTTATCTTGAGCTTCTTCTTTGGACCCTGCGATAACTGTCATCTCCCTGCCAACTT